TATCATGTGCTTGTCTTCAATAGTCCAATAAACAGTTCATCATTGGCAATTTTGTTACTATATTTTCAATTACAGGTGTATTGTTATGCATTATTAAAGGGTTACGTATCAAGATTTATGCAAGGAATTATTTTATTGTTGACTGTGGAAAGTGAAAGTCTCTATAAATTGAACTCATGAATATTTTATGTATACAGAATAAAATATTCTGAAACTACTAAGCTTAGGAAATAAATAACAATTTTGAGTGTGTTGTTGTAGTATCATGTATGGCAAGACTTCAAATGAGCATAGCATTTGATTGATATACCATGTATAATTATACTACAGTGCAAGAATAATTACTATCTATTTCCACCGTGACATGCTAGATTTAATAGAAAAAATACTAAATAAAAACATGCTGAGCAACATTGTGCAGAGTATTTTGCTTTCACTTTATTTGATTTTATTTATTGACATTGGCTGGTATTTTATAGGTATAACTATTTTTTTAAACCCTGTATATATCAAATAATACTGAAAGTTTGTAATGTTGCTTTTCATTCGTGATCGTTATGTTTAAATAGTTTTATGTACATGGCTGCTGACAATTTATGAAGATATTTCACTTTTTTCTCAAAAATGAAGTTAAAAGTTTGCTGCATTATCAATTTTCTCAAGTATTCCTGACTGGATATATGACCGTATATAAACAGTGGTTTGTAATATAAGGCTTGCCTAGTAGCTCAAGTTATATTACCAAAAATCTGTTCATTCAGGGCCATGTATACTGTCAAAAATATTTATAACTACTAATAGGGCACTTGACTGCACTTGTATGTTTAGGTGAAGCATGTTAGAATGTTATATTATAGTAAGGTTTTAAGGTAATTGTAAACATGTATTTTAGAAGAACTTTTTTTGTAATATTTTAAAAACTACAAGCACTACATTTGTTACTTTGTGTACTTCAAATGTAAAGTAAATTATCAACTTTGCTAGTTTCTGAATACCTGCATCAGTCAGAAAAAAGAAGTATATAAAATGATATTGTTTATTTATTTATACATTTATGATGGAGCCAGTATAAATCAAACACATTTATCCTGCAATAGATGTATTTATTTCTTTTTGTTTTTATTTTAATTTTATGATTTATGTAATCAGCTGTAGCATTAAACAATATCAGGATGTCATTTACGGCTTATGACGTCATATGTGATGACGTCACATTGTGTACATAGTACGATTCCATTTGAAATAATTTGTTTTCACAGCATTTAAAGTTTCATTTTAAACGGACCATTAGTTTTGACGTTATTGATTTAGTTTACGAATTATTGATGCACCCTCGTATTTTGTCCTAGGCATTTAAAAATGATTAATTTGATTATAATTATATGAACCTGGTAATAAATTTCATAGGCACTTGGTTTCGGGATAAAAAGCCTTTTGAAGGGTTTGTATAACTTAAATTGGATTGAATGTAACGATTTTTTAACGCAGATGTCTCGATTCTAAATTCGACATTTTTCCGATATTACTAAAAATTTTTTTTAGTAATATCGGAAAAATGTCGAATTTAGAATCGAGACATCTACGTTAAAAAATCGTTATATTCAATCCAATTTAAGTTATACAAACCCTTCAAAAGGCTTTTTATCCCGAAACCAAGTGCCTATGATAAATTTAGCACACCCCGGAAATTTAAATTTGGTTGTGATTGAAAGCACTCATTGATAATGAGATGTCGACTTGATTGAGTTAAGAAATAGTAATGTGATAAGTAGCGATACCAATTTAGTAATCATAAACCGGTAAATTTATGAGTTCAGTGTGTTCTTAACCAAATTATTGAAGCATAAGCAAATGTGTTGTTTCTTTTTACCAAAAATATATTTATATGTATGGTGTTGGAGTATTTAGAAAAACAATTACAGTGGTATATTTTTGGTATTGTTGAGGAATACGTAACCTGAAATGACATTATGTAGCCAAATTTCTAATAAAATATGTAACCGCCACTTGCGCGGATGATAGCCTCAACCCTTCTCTTCATACTACTAGTAAGTCGTCTAATGCGGTTGTGAGGTAAATCTTTTTTTCAATCTTTGTGTAGAGCTTGTTCCAGTTATTGCAGGCGGTTCGTATCATTGCCGAAATAAAATGTTTAATTTCAGTTGTGATCATGTCCAAATTGAGGCAAAATGCCGGGTGTGTATTAATAACTCTATCTATAATAAAGTGTTTATTTACATTTGCATTGTCCATTGCATTTATCCTGTGATGTACCCCCTTCGTGTTTAACTGTATCGTTATACATCTAACAGGACTGTAAAATCAAATCGCACTTTCCATGCAATTTTGCTCAATCTTAGATAAATAAATTTATAAGCCTACTTGCACTGTAGGCAGGAGATGTATACATCAAGATTTCTTCCTTTGCGACCTGACTCATATTTACAATAGACTGGCAAAATAATGGTCATCACAAGGATGTCTAACACTGAGCATTACACTCTGAAAGAAGATTTCCAAATCAAAAGTATATCATGTATGTTGAATGTTTGAGTATTGTCATTTAGAACTATGATTCCATGTATGTCGATGTAACTCGACAGATGATACCTTATTGTGTGATATGTCATTGGATAAAATGAACTTTCCTCTAAGGACGTCAGAAATGCATGTATCCCATATCGTAACGGATAAAATACTTACCACTTAATGATCTATTAATGCATGCCCTAAAATGGTGTCGTGAATGTAGAAAATGTACCGTACTTAAGGGGCACAGGGACAAATTTTATCTTTTCAGTTCAATACATCGATAACTAAGCCCTTGCCATTGTAATATAAGTTGTTGTATACAAAGAGACCCCCCGGGCTAAGAACCAATTTAACCTCCAGGGCCATAATAAATGATAAAGGACCACAAGATGATGATGTAACATGCATAACATCTAAACTCTGGGCAAAGTACTTTCAGAGAAGAAGGTTTTAAGACATTGTTTATATACAAGTCTATGTAAAGTAAGTGACCCCCAGGGTGTTGCCATCTTTTACCTCAGTGGCTGACTTCTGTATACATGTATAGCTTTGTAGAGGTCTACTTAGCAATGCTGCATGTCAGATTTATCTCTATGCAATGTTTTTCCAACATAATTAGTTATAAAGATTTTTAACAGGTTATATGGCCCTATAAAAATGATATTTCTTCATAAAATGACAGCAGCCGTATACACACACCATTTCCCCATTGGTTTCCACACTTTGTAAACAACATGCGCTGTGATGATGCGCGTACGGTTTGATGTTGCACAGCAGTGTAAATTCAGATATTAAAGCACTTTTTAACTGTCAAATAAAAAATATTTACCAAAATAGAGTAATGACAAATATTATCATCAGTATCTAAAATTAATTTGACTCCGCCAAATCCTGATATTAATTACAAAACATTGTCTTCACCATCAACATATTATTCCTTTTCTCTTGTTAACATTCGTTAGGTTATGGTGACGTCATTTTGCCGTGATGGGGTACTCTAAAGGAAATCTTATTTCGGCATTCCATTTGAAACAGCAATGATTTATTTCAAAGTCGTCTTACTCAACAGGGGAAGGGTAATTAAATTATTATCTGGGTTTTGGAGTGATACATGTGGATATATTACCTGCCTAGATAAAATATCACCCTTGCCTAAACTGCTCGGGTGATATAAAATCTTGGCGAAAATATATCCACATAGATATCACTCTAAAACTCATATAACATATAAAATACTTGGCTGCTGTCGATTTATGAAGATATTTTACCCCAGGGACAATATATATATATATAACTTTTGTAGAGTACGACAATATAATGCTACATGCCAACTTTCTAAGCTCTTTGCATTGTAGTTTTTGAGGAGCTGCTGAGGCCTAAATATGCATCAGACTGAAACCAGTTATATGACGTTGGTACAGGATCACCTAAAGATCATTCCTGTGAAGTTTTGTGAAAATCCATCCAAGGAGATGTTGTTAAAAGAAATTGTGAATAGCGACGAAAAACGGACACACTGCCGTCACAAAAGCTCAAATCTTGGCATTTTGTGCTCAGATGTGCTTTGAAAATGACAAATAATTTACTAAGTAGAACTAACGTTAAATCATACTAATTGATCTGAATTTCTTATTGTATCTACAGAAAGTATATAAGTATATAATGAAAAGAAAATTGCGTGAGTGTATTCCAAATGCGTTCCCTTGTTTTCTATGACCCTGCATCTTATAGCAATCAATTCAAAATTACAACCAATCGGAATAACACTGTAAGTCTTTATTTTTTTTCATTTACATGTATTTGAAATATTTGTTTTGATTCTACAGTTTGCGATTTTAATGGAATCATTGTAACAAACGCTGCAGGACGATTTGAACATTTTGTATTACTGTTTGTTTTTCTACTGAGTTACAGTATCCCAATATATTAATAAAATATAAATACTCCGACAAAATGACTCTCAGCGGTAAACATATGAAATGTTTGATTAAAAAAATGTTCAATAAAATTACATGTGTGTGTGTGTGTGTGTGTGCGTTTGTGTGTGTGTGTGTGTGTACAATTCACAGCGCCATTGCACAAGTATATTTGTTGCTCGTACAATACTACCTTATGAAGTAATTCAAATGATTAAATAAAACATTAGCGCTTGAATAGAGAACGGGGCTATTTCTGTTGTGTTTTGTGGTAAAGATGAATATATTATTTGGCGATTTATATATTTATTTCACCACTATTACCAAATTTAGACATAGATACACAGCTGCAGTCATGTAGATAGGAAATAAAAATATCATAAATATATTACATTATAAAACGCACCCAATTATTTTCATTAACATATATATTTTATTATTCAATATGGGAAGAGCATTTACTTTATATTAATGAATTATAGATTGCTAGGAAATGGCATTAACATATGGTTATAACGAGTCATATTTAACTCTCACTTGGATGTGATTGATCGACGCAACAAGTTACGCCGCAGATTCATTCGACTTTTAATGTAATATGCCGGATTGAATGTGAATTTAACATTCATATCAAGTCATCATGGCTTTGAAGTGGTTTTTTATCTTTATTTTTGTCAGCTATTTGAATACAGGTAAGTCGTTTATAATATTAATTAAATAGTTTGAGTTAAGCATGTAACAGCCACCGGAAAATCTTTGCACCACCGGAAAGGTTGCAAACTTCACTATCATTTATTCTTGCCCGAAACATTTTAAAATCATTTCATATGATATATTTAAGGTTAATTAGAAATAACTGACTTAATTTAATGTTATTTTTCTTTTTTGTAGCTATCAAATTTTTTTTTAATTGTCCGGGCGGATTTTTATGTAATCCGCCCGGACAGCATAATTCTAGAAGCTAGAAAAATTGTTTAGCATGTATCTTTTAAGTATATAATTATAAAGGCTTAAGGTGACAACGTAGTCAATTATCACTAAAATACCAAAATTAGATTTTAAGCTTAGTAGATGTATCAACCTTTTCTGAACACATCCGTGAATTAATTTTGGAAGCAGTTAGTCCAGAAACTATGTTTTTAAACGTTTTAGAATGATACCTTTACCATTTTTATCTGCTATGAGCGTAACCTGTCAATTATCGACATCGCTACGCCCCCTGTTGAGGCATAAATGAGGGAGATCGATAATTATTATTATAATTGTCATTATTATTATTACGTGTCGTTTTCTATTTAATTCATTATGCCCCTTTTACATTGAAAGCTACTATTTTATATTCAAATTCATTTCTATATATGCATTTGTCATGATTTTTATTCAACGTAATGCATGTGTAGATGATGAACTATGTTTAAATATTATTAACGATATGTTCTGTTCTGTTATGATTTTAAAACAGCGTGCCATCCAAAATGAATGTAGTCATATTTCTTGATCGATGACTGTTGCACCTTTCCTCGGATTATATGTATAACGGAATATTATTATTTAAATGCCAATTAATCAAGATCGGTTGTATTTTGTTACAATAATTTAAATATCGCTGTCCCCATACTTAATTTTAAACTTAGTTTCAAGGTTTAAAAATTGTCTAGTTGTATAACATGAACTAAAAATGTAACCTTTTTTGTAGTTATTTACATGATTAATGCAATGTCTGTTCATAAAAATTTAAACAATGTACTACAATATCTTTTGAACATGAATGATATAACGCCTTTTTTGTTTATAAAAACACTTTACTCTTTAGATCGCAGCTTATTATGTTAACACATATACATACACATTGATTATGTCTGGGACAAATAACAGTTATATGCGGTCCCAGGTTATGTAAGCTAAAAAGTGATATGCTTTGCCTGGTGACAACATGGCGTGATTGTAGTTATTCTTTCTAAAATTACTGTCATGATAAGTATCAGCAGGCACATTTGAACTTAAAAAAGCAGCGTGAATAAAGTCATTCTCATCCAAAGTTAATAAATTAAAGTGATAGTATATTTTCATTCACTGACAGAGTAAAAACGAATCAAAATCTGACATTTTTTATATCACTCATATTAATGAAATATAATGGTCAATCAACCACATCATGTTCCTTTGATTTTTGAGTATTTTGTTATAATGCATAATTTTGTTCATGGTGTATAAAGAAAAGTCTGATTATGACTTAAAAAAACAACATACAGGTCAACTCAGTTTTATCTTATAAAGCGCTTTCCTGGTTGATCCTTTTTTGTATTTTATTCACTGTTGACTTGTTTTTAGTTTTAAATTGCTTACGTAACATATTTAAATCAACCTCCACCGCTCCTGTAAAACTTTTAACAATATTACTGTATGATGAATTTCTATTATTGAGAGGGTTGGTCTCAGTAGGCAACGTGTACACATGGGAGAAGCCAAAAGTCATATTTGCCTAGCCAGATTTTTTATTTTACACCTACCAATCAAGAGTGATAGGTAATTTTGTGTATTATAAACATTATTCCATAATATTCATGAATGAAATTTAAGAAAACAAATTATTGAAAAGAACTCTGAAATGTTCAACGTCATTTCTAACCGATCTTTGAATTTAATTTAATTGAAAAATATAAATTTGAATTAAAATTATCGGTCGTCATAAGCTAGGGAGCGTGCGCGATATTTTCGACGAAAAGTTAAGTGTTTAGTTTTAAATGAATGAATGAATGAATGAATGAATTGATTTCATAAATCAATTCAATGCTGTAATAAACAATTCGTCAACTAGAAGTTAAATTTTATCAATAAATTGTCATTATTTATTAATAAGCCTGAAAGGTCTCTGGCCAGATTATGTATTTTGATATGTATTTAAAAGACCAGTTTGAGTTGGTTAACAGAATTAGTTTAGATCCAAAGTTGGTATAATATAATTCAGCATAAAATAGTAGTATACAAGATATTAACCTTATCCCTCATATAGACGTGTTATGACGGCTTTTTGTCCCCCCCCCCTTTTGAGGCCTCAAACAGTGAACTTAATGCCATATTAAGGCCCCAAACACAGTTTTTCTTTTGAGAAATGTTGTTGAAAAAAGTGACCACTTTTTCGGCGCCGCCCCCATCAAAATGGTACATCAGGGGGTTGCCAGAAGGGGGATGTGCCCCCTTCTGTTTGGGGTTTGATCAAGGAGCGCGGTAGTTCCCTCATCGCCAAGAAAATTTTGGTCATGTGACGGGCTAAAAAGGACCTCAGGTCGATCTCAGGGTAACTGATAACCGACGCTGAAAAGCCTTTTACTTTATCTCAATTCATTGAGAATTTGCAGCACTTTGAATTCAGTTTTGATGAAAAAAACAATGCAAAATAGTGATTTTTCGCAATTTTGAGACGTCCCCCCGTTGCCATGGTAATAGGAAATTTACAATTGAGCATGCTGTTGTTACAGAGGCTATGGTCCAGTCAGCATTTGTGCCAAATTTCATTAGTATTGAAACATCTTGTTTTAGTTTCATAGCAGTTTGAACTTGTAACAGGAGGCTTTTCAATGAAAACGGCCATTTGTCACAATATGCTCATGGGGTAAAAGGTTAAAGATCAAAATATGCAACGCTGGTATGCTGAACTGCGTGTATCTAGAAAATTAGAAGTTGATAAAGAATAAACTGAAAAATAAGAATTGATTTTGTTATGAAAAAATGTTAGTATAATATATAATATAAAATTAGGTATATAAAAATTTACTAATCATTTAAAAAAGAAATTGAAATACTTTCTAGTTTTCTGTTTAGAATTTTCTCTCCTTTTTTTTTGTTTTCAAATAATATTTATTTGAAAAAAAAACTTTTTTTCCCCCTGTTATTTCCTGTACTTAGTCAAATCATACTTTTCTGTACTTTGTAAATTTACTTGCAAAATTAATTAATGTACTTTTATATACAATGTTTATATTAAATTATAAACTGCTAATAATAAAACTTGGCAATAAATGTGTAAAATATGTATGCCGATACTATATATGGCCTGACATTACTTAATACGTAGATTTGAAATTAAAACGATTTAAAAAAAGTGTTTTAAGATGTTCTGATACATGTAAACAAAGACGATTTTGAAAGTCGTTTTTTTCCGTAACGCGAAAGGCAATTACCGCAACCCTTTTCATTGATTACGAAGGAATGTCCTTACTACCTTATATCTTTCGCAAATAATAAATATTTATTGTATTTATACGAGGCGTTATATATTTTTCTTTGTTTTTGAAACAGACTAGATAAGGTAAATAAAATTTCCAATTTTTGTGTATGTGCTGTAAGTAATTAAAAGAGTCCAATCAAAATTTCTAAAGTATATTTTAAACGATATGAAACGATCCACCTCAAATTATATGGTGTACGGACAAACAGGCTGCCTGCCGCTATATATTGATATAAATGAAAGAATAATCATCTTTTGGGCTCGTTTAAAAAAGCACGATGTAAATAATTATGAAAGAAATTGTCGTCGCTATTGTATAATATTACATATAATCTTCAAAAAAAAAGTGAAAATAATTTGACAAAAACTATTTCTTGAGATTGCAAACTTAAGACAATATTTTATAAATTGCGGTTTATTAAATATATGGGATACACAAAATTTCGGAAACGAGAAGTGTTTGAAATTAGCAATAAGACAGAAACTAAAAGATATTTTTCTAAATTATTGGTATTCTTCGAAACCTGGTACTTGATAATAATAAATAATATTTATTAATTACATTTTAAAAGTTATAGCATATTAATAAGTGTTTTACTTCATATTTGATATTTTTAGTTACGTAGTTATTTCCACGTGTGTGCTAGTCAGACATTGCCCCTGTGGGAGCCCGTCAGTGCCATTATTAACACCCAAAGGTGCACTAGTAAAACTAGAAAAACATTAAATATTTAAGCAACGGCAACTTAATTTTCAATTAAACATGAACGTAATATCGAAATATTTTTTAACGACATGAAGCTTTTAAAACATCATTAACTTTTAATTTAGGTAATGCAGGTCATATCTGGTTAGGTTTCAAGTCTTACCAAAACTGTCATGATCATATAGAGACTTTCCAGTTTTATAAGTAAAATGTGTTCCGTATCCCTCCATAAAGTATATGTGTTCCATATCCTTTTTAAAGCACTGTGTTCTATAGCATTTCAACTTGATGAACTAATGCTAAAACAGCAGTGCATTAATGTTAAACAACAGCAAGAGCAAATCATAAAAAAATGATATATTTATCTATAAAACAGTGAGAAAAAACAGGCCCAAGTGTTCTCGAATAAATAGATAAAATACATAGATTTAAGGAAAAAAACAACACTTGCATTATAAGTTATAGCAAATTTTCATAACAGTTACTCTTTCTTCATATCTCATTCAAAATGACAGAAAATTTGGGTGTACCGTATCCTTTTAATGACAGTGTGTTACGTAACATTTTAGCATAACATTATGCAAATATGCTAAACATCACTGCATTCACTAGATACATTGGACTTAGTAAATCTATAAGAAATAAGCATTCTATTTTCTAAAAAAAAGTCAAAAAATTAGACGACTTACTAGAAGTCACTTGTTGTGATAAATGAGTGTGTACCGTTCCCTTTCGAACCGGCTATGAAAAAAACTGAA